TTTCATCTAAGGAGAAAATCCTAGGAACTACTATTAACGCGAATCGTGCTTTCAAAAACAGGTATGCGGAGGCGTGTCAGTTTGTATTTTACTGGAAATTCATAACTCCTGCTCTCCTGGACTCAGAATATTCGAAACTGAGATAAGACTGATAGAAGCTGATAAGAGGCCATAGATGACAAACGCGTTTGTTACACCCTTCACGTCAAATGTGGAAGCTTGGCATCTTGGAAGATGATGTGCATTGTGTAGGAACGAGTGCATTTGGCAGGAATTCAAGAGGCAGTAGTAGCGGTATCATATGGGGAGAACAAAACTTGGTTAACTCATATCAAATATCCTAGATTACGACCTTTACTCATGAAAGGTTAGCGATTTATTGGGAAGTCACTTTCGCGAATCTCTTTTTATGAGAGTTCCTCTAACTGGTGGATTCCTAGCCGACTACTGGTAACACTTCGCGGCGCGATCATAGGGCGAATGGGGGGTCGAGCCAAAATCGGATCCTGTGCTTGCTCAAAGACACATGTGGTTTCAGCATATGGACCCCTGTCAGCATATGGACCCCTGTTTCTGCTACGTCGGGTCGATTTACACATCCTGTCTCTTCTCATTATCAGACGTATCCATCACACGTGTGTGCTTGGTCAGCTTAACGTTCGAGCGGTAGAGGGCGATCGATATCATTTAAAATATGATGACCCGAAATTGGTATCCTCACCTAGAAACATCACTCGATCGAACATCAAAAACAGCTGTGAAGCAGGTTGATGTATCGTACACACCACCGTCCTGATGTCAAAGGAAATCGTTTTAGAGAGTCTCTGCCTTAGCTCAACATTCAAACACCAACCTTCCATTCCTAGCCAGCTTCGAGAGAACTACGACGACATGCTCGGCCATGAAGGAATCCAATCCGGTGGTAGGTTCATCACAGAATAAAATGGCCGGATTTGACAGTAGTTCGCATGCGAATGTCAGACGACGTGCTTCGCCTCCTGGAAATCATCGATTTTGCTGATCAAAGCACGAAAAAAAAACTGTTCACAGATGGGTAGTAGTGGGATCGTGGAATTTGCTACTGCTACTACATGATGTCCCGAAATTATGGGCCGTCTATCCACTGCAACGAGTTCGAAGACACTAACGTTTTGATTGCGGTTTATTGATGTCTACTTCATGAGCAACAACGAGCCAAAAACTACTTCAAAAATATCCTCGATGAGTTGGATACACGTTCGATGCGTCTTCTTGAACTACTTACTCCCATGTTTCGCACATGTATCCCTCTTCAATTTCTTCCCAAGCATTCTACAGCCACGCCTTCTACAGGACTCCAAAATGGGGCTGACGAACTCGACATTTAGGAATAACATGGAAGAGTCAAGGTGGTTAGAACATACATGATGGCCCTTTTTCTGCGCAAGCTAAATCGGACAGCTCGCCTCGGCACCATTCTTGAACGAGCTTATCTTCGTAGACCGGAGTGCTGCTCTGCTAAATGCACCACGGACTGTGACAGGGAGATAATTGTTAGATGTACGTCTTGGTTAATTTTTACCCCGGCATCGACGAAAGCCAGCGTCGCATCAACGTTGGTCGTGACTTTCCCCAAGTCATCACTGAACGGCTTTGCTCTTTTTCAAATGGAAGACATTGTATTTTCAACGATTTTGACAAGAATGCAATCGTTCCGTTGGTTAATATTAATAACATTGTAGGAATTTCCTTGCTAAATGATAAATTCGATAATTCGACACTAAAGGAAGTCAGCAATCTTCTGCACTTTTTGGCTCTGTGCAGTCTGTCGGCGTCAGAGCTGTAGTGACATTTTTACATTTGATAGGAATGGCAATAAAGGTTCTACTTGACAGTCTGTCCCATCGACGACACTGATACGTTCGGATCCGTTTTGATAATTTTTCTCTCGGAAACACTTGCTTTTTGCCTTCAGGGCC